TTATTTTTGTTTTTTTAATAGGAAACTATTTTTTAGGCATTAAAACTAGTCACAAAATTAAGGTATAATTAATTTAATTAAATTTTTTTTTTATTGAGAGCAGATTGGTTATATAATGAAGAAGTTTAAGTAAGTTCTATAATCTACATGAATTCTAAGTACCTTAGTAAATTTCTTAATATCCAATAGAAGTGCTATATTTATGTAGCTATCAATTAGATTTGTAAGGGGTGACCTGCTGGATTTTAAAAATGAGTCTTTAAATTTACTTTATCTTATTCATCAATTATTTGTATCCACTAATCCATTAAGCAACAGGTATAGCCAATTATGATGTGCAAGATGATGGCGAAGTCTAGACCTGGAGTGAGACAGATCGTCTTTGAACCTGGGTTCCAGACTTTTACTAGCTCTTGATACCCCTGTTTCTCAGTTTCCACATCAGAACTTGGGTGATAAGAGAGAGCTCCCATTAGGACTAGTGAGAGATTATGGAGTGAATGAGATGGGGAAGGAATGATCATGTGTGTTGTAGAGTGTACCTAGACTTAAAACGTTCAGTTGCACAAATCATCTTTTAATTATCATTAAATAATCAAAAGGAAGAAATTTACATAGGCAAGGAAATCAGGAAATTCTAGAAAGCAGCCAATTATAAATTCCTCCATACAACGTTCTTTTCCTAAGTGCTAAGCTTTAAAATATTTCTTGTAGAACTGAGCACACCTGCAGAATGGGAAAGTTAGTTTCCCTGGAATTGTACACAATCAGTTCTCTTTCAGAGACAGATATGGAAAAATGAGTGCAATGGACACATTCTCGGATGGAGGGCAACTCATCTCCCTCCTACCTACCCCAGAAGTCTAAATCAAGTCAGAGAGTGTCTTTAAAAATTAGAACAATAGATAGTGACTATTCTAAGAAAACATATCTTTGATTAAATTTGAATGTTTGACTAAATTACATGGGTATTTTAACCAAATTCTAACAGTATATAATGATTTCTTCTTATGAAGTCATAGGACTGTTTGTGGGGATGATATTGTTTATTACTGCACTTTACTATTTCTTATGCTGTCATCTTTCACCATTAGATAATTTTATGTCCTCATCTGGCTTTTCTTATGTGTACATCTTATCATTCAATTATATTATAAGACCACTGAGGACAGGTGACCTTTGGATGTCTAGTTCCTGAAGCATAGTAGACCATGAGTGCTTATGAAAGGGTTAACTGTTCTTTGACAGCTGTGAATATAGAAAGTATGAATGAGTTTTAGGGCTATTAAAAGAATCCTAATGTTCTAACTCCCATCACTTGAGAAGCTATACAATCCATGATTTAATAAAATATCCATAAGGCATCAAACAACAAAATGCCATGTGGAGCAAGTTCTCCATAAGTATTTGTTCAGCTGAAGTAAATTAATTGTGCAGTCCTTCTTTCCTGGAAAATGCAAATTGGCTAGGCTGACAAATATTAGGTGAGGTGGAGGAAAAAAAAATATTAAATGGATTTAGACTATGTAAAAATCCAACCTGTTTTTTACAAACAAAAATGTTCAATAGATCCTGAAAGAATGAATAAACTCATTCATCAATTAATTCAGACTAAAGCCTATGTCTGGATTGCCTGTTTGCCTCATCTGAAATAGTCATAATGAAAATTTCCAGACTAATTTCTTCAGGCTATGGAGTCAATAGTAATCTCAGAATGATACTTAGGATATGGCATGTCTTTAATGGGGTGCTTAAGTAATCACAGCAATTTAATTAAAAGGCAGTCATCTTTTGAAACAGCTATTGTTCCCTAGAGAATGTTGAAGTTTTGGTCTTACATTTCTACAGTTACCTATTGCTTTTAGTCACCACAATTTTTGTCTATTTGCTTGATTTTTAAAGGCATTATGCATAGTTTTCAACTTACTACTAGGCTGTATCCCAAAAGTTTCCTCCTCAAAATATGTGACCATTTCTTTCCAGTCTCATTCACTGGCCACCTCTCCAAAGCTAGTGGTTTTCCAAACTCCACCATTTATCTTTTCCTGTTGTTGATTTAAATATTCCCTCTGAGTGATCTCTTCACTCCCAACACTTTAACTACCTACTGTGTCAGCACCTGACGAAATTGTAATTACATTTCCCTTCTCCCTCCAGACTCACCTTTTCATGTTTGATGTTCATGTTTCATGTTTGATGTCCCATGAGTACTTCAAAGACAACCTTTTCAGAATCAGAATCATACTTTTCTCCTCCATATACCTCCTCACCCTCCTGTATTCTCTACTTGCTTATTGGTGGCATCACATAAACTAGTCACAAAAGCCAAAACTTTAGAGTCATGCTTAGTTTCTCACTACTTCTTACTTAGATCAAATCAGTACACCCTAAATAGAAACAATTTTTATTTGCCAGTCATACTTCAATAAGGCTGGAAAAAAATACTACTAAGCCCCACCGATTCCAACTCAGAAATTCTAACAGCATCACGTGCTCCTCCTCAGCACCAGTAACGTTGTAATTTCCCAGGGCCTGTTCCCAGGGCCTGTCCCCGTAATCTCTTAACTGGGATCATTGTCTCCTGTTCTTTCTTTCAAGATCACCTTCTACATCAGCAGTCCTCATCTGTTTTTCTTCTGTAAAATGCAGTGTTCATAGATAAGACATATTCCTATGGGCAATATTTAATGAGGAACTTAAGCATTGTAATTATTCACAGTCTTCCATAGGCCCTGCATAGCCATGCATGATCTGGCCCCCGTCCGCCTCTCATCTTTGACTCACATTTCTCTCCCCATCATTCATTGACTCCGCTGGCTCTTCCCTACCCTTTTCCATGTTCACCTCTCCCATTCTCTCTTCTTTCTGACCTCAACTAAGTGGTACCACTTTAGAGAGGCTTTTCTTGAACACTCCTCAATCTAAATTAAATTCCCTTGCTCTTTCTCATAGGACTTGCCAGAAATTATAATTACATACTTTTTTTTTTTTTTTGCATTAAGCCTGGTTCACCCACATTTCTAAAATCTGTGAAGTCAGAGACTATGTCTATTTTATTCATCGTTGTATCCCACTGCCCCCACACAGAATCTGGCAGATAGTGGGCACTCCATATATATTTACTGAAGGAATGAATCAATTATCTCAATTATTAATGGCATATTAGTAAGCCAGCTAACTACAGGCTCAGTCTATGGATTATGGGCAATTTCCACCCCCGAAGAGCATATCATAAGGTTAGTAAGAGTACTGCTGTTGCAGGGGTAATTTTGACTGTGCTCTAACTTAAAGAAAAATAAACCTCCAGGACTCTAGTACTGTTAATCATATGTCTGATCATGATACACTGTATACCCATTGTCTGGCTAGTAGATATTTCTTCTTCATTTGGTTCCCTGAGATTTCTTCCTAAAGCCTAAAAGCTCATCCTGTAATTCTCCTGTATATAAACTTTCAGTGGGTTCTCATTGTTTTCGAGATAAAGTCCAAATTATTTGGCTTGCCTAACAGAGTCATTCTCAAGCTGGGCCTGGCCATTCTTTCCAACTTCAACCCCAGCCAGTCTCTATCATAGGCCATGATCAAGCAAAGTTCTTTCATTCTATGACCTCTTTTAGAAATGTTCCACTTTTGTCTCTATATGACTGTGTATTTGCCCTTTAAAATCCATCTCAAGAGTTTTAGTTACACCTTCCTTACTGCTCCCATTGTATGGTTCATTCTCTGAATTCTAAAATGTATTACATATTCCATGATAATTTGTTGGAATGCCTATCTTCTAAACTGGATGCATTAGACTGTGCATTCCTAGTGTCCAGCCCAATGCATAGCATACAGTGGCACCCAATAACTTTTGGGTGACTGAATGCTAATTGTTTGGAAGTAAAAATGCTTTTGCCTGCTGAAGCAATGGTATAAATAGTGATTTAATTCTCGACTGACTCAAAAAGCCTGTTTAAACCATAATAGAATTGAAATATATTGCTAATATTGCTTTTTTCCCCTCTAGTATTAGCATGTGTTATTTCTCTGCTTTATTGCAACTAAGAAACCTTTTTCTTCTTCCTGTAGCCCAGCCCGGTGGCAGAGATCTTGTCTAAACTTTTCTCTTTGGTCTCTCATTGCCTTAGAAGGAAAGGCCAAAAGAAGAGTTTTCTTTTTTCTTTTCTTTTCTTTCTTTTTTTTTTTTGCTGTGATAGTGGGATGGGATTTCTGCCATTTTCTTTCTTTTTACTTTTTTTTTTTAAACGCCAACAGCACCTGGTCTTCCTAGGTGGTCTTCCATCCAAGTACTAACCAGCTAAGCTAACTAGCTTAGCTTCCGAGATCAGACAAGATTGGGCATGTTCGGGGTGGCATGGCCATAGACGGATTTCTGCCATTTTGATTTTCATGGTGGAGACATCTGTCAACTGAGGGTTTGTATCATTGATACTTGCCTCTGTCTCAAATAGTCTTGAAGACTACGTGTCTCAAAACATGTCATTATGCTAATGCTGTAATACAATGAGCCGTAAGATAAAATTAACTTTAAAAGAGTTCTACTAATAGATAAAGTAGCAAAAAGAACTTCCTACTTATAGGTACTCTCACATGTAAGACTTACTCATGCTTTTTATTAATCCAAGCTCTTGTCCTTTGACTTATGTTAAGTGAATCAAAACAGCCCTTCTTCCTTGACTCCTTGACTCTTGTCACAAATTTTGTACATTTTGGTTTTCTTAATGACATACACAAAAATAATGTTTAAACTTGGGGGAAAAAAAAAACCTTGATGTATGATTAAGTAATTGATGTAATTTACTTGATACATATCTTATAATGTAAACAAACATGATTGCTTTTAATAGGTGAGAATGACAGATGTTTTGAGAAATAATATTCTGTACAGAATCATGTGTTTTTATAAAGTACCTGACCTCATTAAGTTTGTTAATTACATAAATGCCCTTTCTGAATCCCTTTTCTTTCTTCTTTTTTTCTTATTCTTTTTTAAATAGGTAGTGTTTGCATTGCTCAATCACAGAAAATCCCACGTGAACCACGACCTGGAGAATTTGAAAAAATTATCAAACGCCTGCTAGAAACACCTAATGCTCGGGCAGTGATTATGTTTGCCAATGAAGATGACATCAGGTGCTGATTACTTTTCTTCCTTATGTAGGATTTGTTTGTGGTCCACATCTTTTTTCTAATATATTTCATGTTCGGTGTAAAATCTTGTGAAATTTCACAGAAATTGCAACATTTTTATGCAATTACAGATTGCCTTCTGCTGCACGGAGACACAACAGCCTTCTAGTTCTTGAGTCTGAAATGTCTATAGTGTAAAACCTGGGGACTGAAAGAAATGAGACAAATAAGGATAATAGACAGAATGAAGTGAAGGAAGTTAAGGATAAGGCTAATTAACAGGTGCTGGAGTTAAAGTCTGCAATATATTTCCTTTAGGAAATGACAGACTCAGGCAGTTAGAATGATTGACTAATTGTTTAACGGTGACCTACTGATTATATACAATTTGATAGAGCTGTCTTGTAACATTCATAAGTGTAGCGTTTCTTGATAAATATGGTATATTTTATATCTTTTATTCCTATAGGAGGATATTAGAAGCAGCAAAAAAATTAAACCAAAGTGGGCATTTTCTCTGGATTGGCTCAGATAGTTGGGGATCCAAAATAGCACCAGTTTATCAGCAGGAGGAGATTGCTGAAGGGGCTGTGACGATTTTGCCCAAAAGAACATCAATTGATGGTAAGGACGCATCGTAGAGAATTTGTTTCACTTCAGTTAAATCACAACTCAAAAGCAAAACCAGAGTATCAGCGTTTGATGAAATGCATCCATTATTGATAACTCAGGATAGAATTTTTAGCTCTGATGGCAGAATTGCCAAGACAGTAGCTATTTAACTCAGAATGTACATATTTTATCAAGAGTACCTATTAGACTTTTTTAAGAAAGGAAATTACAGTTGACCTTAGATATTTCCATGATATTAGCCACTTCCATGATGGTGCCCTCTAAACTTGTGTCTTTCCCTGGGCATATATGATGGTTACAGCATGGTTGGAGTGAGAGTGCTTGCTTTATAGAAAATGGAGACATGGTGCTGGACTGACCCTGTGGGTAAAGTAAATGCAACAGCAAAGTTGTGGAGCATCCCTGAAAGGCAGTCTGTCTCCCGAATATCTTTGCCGATGGTCTTGACAGTGATTGAAATTCCTACCTTTCCCATTATCCTTTCGAGTAAGGCATTATTTCCAGGTGGTCTCCCTTCAGTGAGGTCGTTACCTGAGCAGGCTGACACTTTAGCCCATTACCCATGACTCTAGAAGATTACGTTAGTACTGATTAGTTAATTGAATTAGCTAAAAATGGGACATATAGGACAGATAAATTTTGAGGTGGGTAGGAGCATAGAAGCCTGGAACGTTAACCCCTGTAGGAGAGAGATAGAGAAGAATGAGAAAAGTCTGAGTTGGTTCTGAATATTCAGCTTCCACGGGAGATGTAGAGGAGAGGAAGAGATCATGATGATGACATCAACTACAGGCTTTTCTGTTATGCTTATCCCTAGAGCCAGGTGCCTGAATGGTGAATGGTGAGGATGGAGGTATTGTCCAGTGATGCTCCTTAGCTTTTGCTGTAGGGAAGCTTTTGGCTGTCCCCCATTTGTGTGTGTGTGTGTGTGTGTGTGTACATTCCATGCTGTGATTGCAATATAACATAATACCTATTCAAAACCTCTGATAGTATTTGGTTTTGATTTTGAAAGAATATTAAAACCATGTCTTTCTTTTTTAAAATAGGGTTTGATCGATACTTTCGAAGCCGAACTCTTGCCAATAATCGAAGAAATGTGTGGTTTGCAGAATTTTGGGAGGAGAATTTTGGATGCAAATTAGGATCACATGGAAAAAGAAACAGTCATATAAAGAAATGCACAGGTAGCTACTTAAACGTTTTCCCTGGTGCTTTGTTTTATCACTACCTGAGAAATGAAGTTTTTCTATATGGATAATGATGAGCGCATTTTCTATTTTCTTGTGTCTCTCATTCTAGTTTCTCAGCAGGGCTGAGCATACGCTGATCGTTCAACAAACTTAGGTGTACTCCTTGACTGCTTCTTAGAGTCAACCACAAGTATTTATTGGGCAGGTGCCATGTGACTGACACTGGGGTATTTCAGTCCTATTGAAAAAAATACATCGGTCTTCTACTTTGGGCAAAGCACTTTATTAGGGTTGGTGAGATATGGACAAATAAGCAAGACGTGATATTGCTCTCCAGGAGCTTAAAATGTAGTGAAGATGATGGATCGTAACAAGTTGCTATAAGACAGTGTTTTTTAAAAAACTATTTCCATTCATGTCCCCTATAATACTATTATTCCCTCATCTTCCACAGCATTAGCAGCTATGATTTTTTTTGTAATTTGTTTTCTATATCTTATGCTTAAAATAATAGTGATATTAAATGTTCATATTTTGAATGTAAGAATGCAACATTTTTTATTTGTAGATAACATGATCGTATATATAGAAAAATCTATGGAATTTAAAAAATTGGAACTAATTAGTAAACTTAACAAAGTTACAGATATAAGGCCAATATATATATATATATCTTTCTTAAATCCATTATATATTTGTGGCATTATATATTAAAAACAAATGTGTGAAAGATGAAATTTAATACTATGATTAAAAAATATATGACAAAACATTAAGGATAATTTTAACAAAGATGTATAAATCCTCTACACTGAATACTATAAATCTTGAATGAGTATTTTATAATCATACATCCCTCCCTTTTCTACCCCCTCACTCCCATGTTTTTATATATCTTTCTTTCCCTTTATTCACTTCCCTTAGAAATAGTCATTCAAATAAAAGATATAATATGACAAATGCTAGAGTAGACATATAAGCAGAGTGAGGATGGGGGTGTAAAATTGATGCCATATGTGTGCCAGACACCATTCCAGGAGCTGGGGTGAGGAAGGGAGACTGTGTTCACAGAGCTTACATTCAAGCGTGAAGACACAGACACTAAGTAAACATATAAATGAACAGAGACTTCCAGATGCTGAGACATGCTTATAGGAAATACAGCAGAGTAAATGTGAAAGGGTGACCAGGTGGACTTGGCAGGGAGGGTGGCAATTACATTGCATGGTCAGAGAATGCTTCACCAAGGAGATGGCAGTTGGAGATGAGACCTATATGGCAAGAAGCTGTCAGCCATGTGAAGATATAAGGTTGGTCCATTCCAGGATCTAGGGCAAATCTCTTTTGTCCAATGTACAGAAAAAAGTTCAGGGAGTCTAGAGTGGGTGAGACTGAGGTAAGTGAGTGAGAGGGAGAGTGAGGGCAAATGGGGCTAAAGAGATCGGCTGAGATCAGGTCATGCAAATCTTGAAGTTCCTTTTAGAAGCTCCAGAGCTGAGGAGTTTGGGCTTTATCCTACGTATAGGGTAGAACAACTTGAGGTTTTTTATACAAGGCATTACTCAGAAGCCTGTTTCAAGAAGATTCCTTTGGCTGAAGTGTAAGGATTGGTGATCAGGGGAGAGAAAGGAAAAGGGTCAGTTAGGGCTTGTCCCGTAGTTCTGGTGATGGACAGTCTCAAATAAGGACATGTGAGTTAGGGGCAGATCACAGAGGACAGAAGTCTAGTAGGTACTATTTACATTAACTGGTGAGTGATGAACGCTGGGGATAGAAGTAAGAGATGGAGTTCTGAATATTAAATCTCTACCAGCTAGGTCTAAAAAATGTACCTAACACAGAAGACCGAAGAAACGATAGGGTTGGAGGGACTAACGTGAATTTAGTTTTGAGCTAGCCCCATGAACTGCCCAGCAGGTGGCAGCATAAGGTCTGGGACCCCACTAAGTGTTCGGCACTAAAAATACAGATTAGGGAGTGGCAGGTAGAGACCTGGAAGTTAAAGACGGGGCCAGAGATGCAATTGCCACAGGAGATTGAGCAGAGATGAGGGAGGACGCTTGAAGATTCTAGGGGGGAGGGGGGGCAGGAAAGGAAACTGAGCACGTTGAGTTTGGAACCTAGTTGAACTGGGAGCCAAAGCCTTCTCCAATGTCTCCAGGAGAGAAGATGGGGTGCAAGCAGTGTCAGGGTTGCAGATGAGATGGCTGAGGCATGGAAGAGTGATAGAAAGACAAGTTGTGAGACAGAACTGGAATAGAAGTGGAGAAAATGGTTTTTCAAGAAGTTTGGCAGAAAAAGAAAGTAGATATAGTAGGAGAACTTGAGGAAGAAGCAGGGGTGCAGAAATTTTCTTTAGGATAGGGCACATTTTAGCATGTTTTCAAATAAACCTAGTATTCAGAAGGAATACTAGAGAAAAGAAATTAGATATGGAGTAGGATCTTGACAGAAACTTTAGGGAGAAGCATGAAGAGGAAAGTATTATCTTTAAATAATGTGATTCTGTTGAGAAAAAAAAAGATACAGGCAAACACATACATAAACAGAGGGGGGAAATCCTATAATTAAATGCTAAATTTAGACGTAGATATTAAGGGAGTTCAGAAAATGTGTGACTGTAACTTCAAGATGTAAAATTCAAAGCTTCATAGAGAAAGGGAATCTTGATAACAAGAAAGATTTGAGAAAGAGCATCCAAGATGAGGGAACAGGCGGGTCAGCAGAGCAAAGACATAGAGAAGGACATGGCATAAAGTGTGTGAAGAACAGCGAAGAGGCCCGGCTTACTGGGGAGGAGGGTGCACATTAAGGAATACTGGGAAATAAAGAGGGGCCAGTTTATAGGATTTGAAAGGACAATTTACACATAGAGTACCTTCTGTGTTTTACTTTCCAGTATATTTTACACTGTACTTAATTCTGAATTCCTAATTCTGAATTTGATTGTCTACACGTTTATATCCTATTGTTGTTTAGATCATATTAATGAAACTCTACCAGTTAAAGAAATGGGTGGGCACAGTTTTTTTTAATGTATGTTATATATAATAAAACTGGCAGGAAATTAGTTATTAACTAATCACGTGACTTTTTAACAGTTTTCAGACTGTTAAAACAGACCGTTTCTCTAAATTTGTTTTTTCCAAAAATGTTGATGTATGTATAGATGTCCCTTTAGCATCTGAAGATGGTGTGTATTGGATGCTTATTTCAGTTATAAATACTGAACTGGGTAGAATCCTGATGTGGCGCCATGTCGGCTTTAGATTCCTCTGATTTTTTGGGTGTTACTAAAATTGTAACAATCTGTCCAATTAGAGAGAGCTATTTCTAGCTCAAGGAAAATGGTGTTTACTTCAAGTGCTAGGGCAAGCGTACCCTTAGGGAACAGGGTCAGTAAACAGATTTTCATGCAAATTCCCTTGTGGGTGATACTGAAATAACTTGTCTCTGGGTAGAAAATAAATAAATATTACAACATCCTAACTTAATTTTTGTTAAAAAAAACAGTAACACATGAACATTTCCAGATTGTGAGAGAAGATACTCGTGCCCCAAATGACGATCAACACTCAGTTTTCATCTCTGTTTTTGGGGAAGAGAGAAGATGGTCTAGTATGTTAATGGTCAAATGTACTTAAGAAGAAAAATCTACGGGATATTCATGGATAGGAGTGTCTGGGGTGTGAAAATTATTTACATTTCCAATTGTCCAATTCCATCTAATTCAGAAATGAGTGCATATTGATGTGCAAGTTTCAAAATTTAGCCTTATAAGGTTTACATTTTAACCATCCACAATGAGTCAAAAAGGTGAGGACTCTGTGAAACTAAGATATCTACAAGGTCCTTTTTGCTGCATTTAGAGCATCATTTGTGAGTTATGTTTTCTGTAAAATTTTACCTTGAGCAATGATAATCTGTGAATGTAATTATTTGCTTCCATTGAGGGTAATACTGGCAATGTATTTACATGGATAAGAGAGCGCTTCTCAGCAGGGAGAGCTTCTGTCATATCAATTTTCAGGAGCTAGAATGTCTTCAAGCAGTGAGGAACATCCTTTTCCTAAAATTAACTCAGCACAGTTTTCTGAGATGATTTTCCCTCCTAGAATCTCAGGAAAGCTTTCAAAAAGATGTGATATTACTGTTAACTTTGATATGCTGGCCAAATTCCAAAGTGAAATAATTCCTACCATCCACTTAGCTATTTATGTAGTTATTATTGCTTCTGAGAGCTGCTGAGTTCTGAAAGCTACTACTACTTAATCCTACTTAAAATTCCCTTTGTCTTCTCAAGAAGAAAAAAGGATTCTTTTAGACTTGTTATCAGTGGTGATGGGTGTTATTTTATAGACATTTATCTGACCTCTCTTTTTTTCCTTCCTTTGTTCTACTCTCAGACTTAATGCCTTTGCACTCCTCACAACAGACACCCGCACCCTCCCTCAGGAGCTTCATCTCTGTCTGTACGTTTTTCACACACCTATTTCCCCACTCAGGCCTCTGCCTCAACTCCTCTTCCACTGTTCCCTTTCACCTCATTTTTTCTGTTTTTCATCTGTTCTCTGATCAGTTCCTTACCCAACATTGTTTTGTTCAGCAAGGCTGTCACTACTAGCAGTGGGGGGAGTTTCTTTTGAGGTCTCACTTAATATTTTTAATGACCGTCTTTCTGATTTGTTGTCTTTTAGCGAGGCCTGATAGTGAATATTGCAGAGACCTGAGTATGTGCAGTTGAGCTCATCAAGGACAGGCTCCCTCTTGGTCACCTTGTGCTGTGGCTTTTATTTCTCCATCAGGAATTGTGACTAGCTCTGCCCTTATTAAACAACATCACTTGACCAATCCTATAAATCCAGTTGGTTCTATATAGCATTTTAAAACCTTCGTTTTGCTCCATCCGTCCGTCCGTCCGTCCGTCCGTCCATCCATCCATCCATCCATCCATCCATCCATCCATTTCATCTTTCATTCACTTGTTTATTCAT